GCTTGTGTCACTTGCTAACTAGAGGCACTTGTTAATAAACTCCCTTCTCTTTTATTACTGGTCTAATCCTCTGCCACAATTCTTTATGGGCTTCTAGGATTCCTATAGTGGTTAATATCCAATTAAGGCAAGTTTATTAATTATACTCATGCAACTACAATGGGTACAAGTTTATACAATCCGAATATTCACTCTCTATTTTAGCTAGCTAATCCACCCATATTTATACCCGCTGTGACGCGTCTGCTAATATACCATTGCGTCCTGCAAATCCTCGATTAGACTATTTAGGCTTCTTGATGCAGGGCCTGATGGATCGCGCCATGTAACGTGACTATCGGCGATCCTAATGACCCATACATTTTTTCATGCTAACAGCATAAAGCGACGCCTTATTTTGACAAATTTCAAATTATTTCTAATCGTTACGTTTCTTTGTGTTCAATCAATGACAGTTAATATTATATACCATATCCCTAATTTGTCTGAAACAATTTAAATTCCTAGCCTGTAAGTAAAAATTTTTAGATATACAGTATATCAATCGCTGATTTGATAAACTGATATTCAAAAGTATACAGAGAGCTTATTAATACTTTATTCGATCCCGAAATTTATTATTAACGATGTACACTAATTAAAATTATAAGAGACGTTCAGCTTTTCTCAAATAACATTTTACCATCGATTATACGTTAATTAGCAAAAAATAAGTAGACCTCTACATAATCCACGTTTAAATCCTTAACATAAGAATTAATTATAATTAATTAAATTTGTTAGAAAGTATGTATAAATTTACTGCTCCTATCAAAATTCGATTGGATTCCGCCTCTCTGAACAATTATATTAGCAAGTGTAACACGATCCCGGTCACGTGAGTAAACCGCGAGAACACTTTTAAAGACCTGTTTTAAGCAATGGTATTATAAGCAGTGTGAGAAAAGTATGTAAGCAATGAACGATTACAATAACCTAGATTTTATGAGAAAAGCTTGTGGTTAATAGTGTTTTGTAAGCAAGGTAGGTATACAGTATGTTGGTCAAAAAATTGATTGTCTTTATTAATTTCCTTCACATTGATTATATAAGGATAATAATTAAAACTAATTAAATTAAAGATACCAGAACCTCATGACAAAACTATCATTAAGAAATCTTATTTTTTATTACATTTATTGAATCAATTTATAGTGCCACGATTAATCCTTGCGTATCACGGTCACGTGATTACATTAAAAATTATGTCGCGATTTAAATAAGTTCTTGACATTCCTTTTTCGTTTGCTTGTGCCATTCTCTATTGCAATGTTGTTCAATTAAGTCAGTACTCCCGATAATACCGCAGGAATCAAATATGTAGTACGGGTCATGCTACCTTTACTCCTGCTACAATACTGTATCATAATGGATCCAAACAATGCATGACAGGTTGTTCAATTTTCCAATAATGCTGTTACAAAGCAGATTCTCCGAACAAACATTTGGTGGCTTTTGCTGAGGCGAACAAATTATTATTTGAAGGCTTGAACACGCCTCGTACTTAAGCCACCTGAAATAAAAGATCTCCGGGCTAAGAACAATTATAAAACCTTCATTACTTTGCTCTTAAGTGCTACAAAAATAAAAGAGATGAGCAACCTCGAGGGTTCCTCCGGTCAAATGAAGTTAGAAATTGTGGATGAAGATGACAATGATTCCATAGGTTTCAACACCGATGACAATGAGCCTCCCGAAATTGAAAAAAACACAAAAATAGTGTGTTCTCCAAATTTAAAATATGTTGCAACTTGGGACTATTTTAAAGATATAGTTTGCGTATATTCCATCAGAGGACAGGGGGACCCTAAATATAGAGCCTCATTTACGTTTAATATACTCGAAACACTCCGGGAATCTAATCCGAAATTAAATGGATACTTCATTGATCTCCTTGATGTATCCGATAAGAGTCACGTCATTATACGCGCATCATTAAACGATACTTCTGGAACCACAGATGGTTTGTAAATTCATTTATTTATATTCATTACTGTATTGGGCCTTTCGGCTTAAACTGATGGTTTTCTATTTCGACCTATTAAGAGTTGGTTCTTGTCGATGCGAAAAATCCACAAAATTTGAAGTGCAACTTATTAAAAAACTCCGGTAATTGGGGGAAATTAATCGATAGATCCTTTATCGTAAACCAAAACTACACGGAGTATGTGATTGTCAGAAGGAGTGGAAATGTTGCTACCGGTTACTTGTTCACTGAATTAGACTGGAAATGTAAAAATATATTTCGGATTCCCGATTTTAATACAGATGATTATATCAAAATAAGTGCAGATGGGAAGCTATTCCTATACCGTAGTAACATACACATACTTATGCAATGGGACGTTAAATCCTTAAAATTTGAGAAAGAATGGGCCTTAGAATGGAGCTTCACTTCTCCACGTGGCTTCATTGTCGGAAACAAGATTATCAATGAAAACATCCCTTATTTGGCAATTTGGGATAACAAAAATATTTACACGTGCTCATTGGAAGAACAACGTATTGTAGCATCATGTAAGTATAACCTTCCATTTTATGAAATCTCGAAAAAGGGTAACGCTCAAACCTTTCTAATATATTAATATAATTCTTATCAGATACCACTGAATACGATATAAAAGAATGTTACTTTCTTTCATCAAACGTTGGGGTGTATTTGTTTGTTGTATGCTCTAAAAATAGCCGGAGTCATTCATATTATTTACTCGATCCATACACTCTAGGCAAAAAAATTGATGCAAAAATTTTAATGGAATCATCAGAAGGCACCGAAAAAAAGGTTGACCCGGACTTTGTGCAAAATGAAGTGAAAAGAATGCTTGAAGAAATCACGGAAGAGAGACGCGAGCGAG